CAGACTTTTTCGAAGCTTTATTTAATGTTGTGGTATTAATGCAATGAACCACAAGATAAATGATCAGATATTTTAGCTTTAGAATTGGGGGTGAGATACTCCAGATGAAACTTCATGAGCTACAGGGGTAGTTGGGCCATAGTGGCATCATGTTATAAAATACACATGGATGTGGATGGAATTTCAGTATGTATTGGGACTAAGTCATGCTCATACATTGCCAACCGTTAGATTGCCTCAGCAGTACGGCTTAATCTTGGTCACTTAATTTACTGGGTCTTTGTACAAAATTAGCTTCTGCTTCTTACTCATTGAGCAAAGAATATTGAGAATTTGATAGCATCCAAAAATAAACATGCTTCTGTAACAGATAGGGAATGGGCTGTAGTATATATATAGGATGTCATTTTATTGGAATGGGGAAGGATGCTTGAACATACCTACCTTTTACCTGCATCTGTATATGGAGTGGGATGGAATTGAAATGCCTTGTAGTAACCCATGCTCAAGTTTTCCCTTAAAACAGTAATTAATTTGTGTTAAATATATGTAAACAAGCACAATGAAGTTTGCACTAAAGAGTGTGTGATTATAATGCACTACCCAGTTGCATAATTTCATACATGGGTGTCCTTGTTGCACACCATTATTCAAACCCATATTTTTGAAGTATTAAATCACTTGTTATATTGGAGTTCAAAGTTTGCTTAGTGTTGGCTATTTCTATATTTTATAAACAAAAATTTCCACCCAAAAAACCTCCACAAGGAAGCCAAAATAAATATTTCTGCATTTAATTTGAGTAAATGTTTTTATACTGCAATTTAAAAAACTCACTGTGCGCTCATTCCTAAAAAAAAAAAAAAAAAAAAAGGAGTTATTGTCTGATTATTCTTATTTGTTTCCCATTCTTTTTGTCTGGACCTTTATGATTATTTATGTCCCAGTTGGTAAAGGAAGCAAGAGAAAGGCAAATCAGCCAATAAATCATAGTTTTCCACACAGCTTTATCATGAAGAAATAATTTTGACATATTAGCAAAATAGAATTTCCTGATCTTAACCAGCTTTTTCTTTTTGGCAGTAGACAGTAACTTTATTTTTGTGACAGTGGGAATGAAGAGTTTTTAATCTAAATACATCTCAAGAGTTTAATATTGGAAAAGGCTCGTCTTAATAGCTTTTTAGAAACTAGCAGACTTGAACTTGGATAAAAGTAGTTCCACGGGGGAACAAAAATATTCCATTGACCTATAGTTTAGTCGTAATAAACTGGAACAGAAAGAAATCAACTCTTTAGTGAAATGGTTGTTTCTGGAGTAATAGGGGTAGAACTATAATAGGGGTAGAACAAGCTTGTTGCTTGTAGAAAATGTAAACAATTATACCCAAAGCTATATGTAGAGGGCATATGAAAAATGTGGTGTTGTACTGATATAATACTTGCCCTACTTCTTTTATAGACATATCACAAAATCATACAAAAGGGACGGACATTGCAGTGCAATGTTGCTATTGTCATTCTGATGTCTCATTTGAAACCAGTTTGTAATCTTCTAAGGTTTTAATGGTATTTGATAGCATTATTTTCTATAAGTGGTATCTAATTATGGCTGATATAAATGGTGCATGATGTTAAAAACTCAGTTTGTTCAAAAGCTCTTATGGCAAATAAAAGAAGGCCTTTATAATGTAGAAAATCAATTCAACAGAGAATCAGCTAAACATTAATGCATAGATAGATGCATAGATGTATGTATATATATATTTAGTTCAGATGGTGGAATTGATTCTTTTTTATGCTAAGGAATTGTTAGATAGCCCTGTCTCCATTCAATATAGATGTCAGAACAAAAGAAGAGACCTTACCCAACAACTTGTTAAATAGCGCTATATTAATTAGAGTATGACTATAACATCTTAACACTTCTGGAACAATGCTGAGACTATATATTCTCATAGTCTCATTTCCACCCTCCTGTGGTAGAATATTTTCCAATTTAGCTGCCACACAAGTTTCTTCAACTACTTTTGAATGAAATTTGGCCTAGAAACTCAGTTGTGTGTTGAAACTTGGGCTTGAATTAGTAGAAAATTTAAACCACCCAATTTACTTAGAGGCTGACTGGGTTATTCTGGGAGTTGAAGTCCACAAATCTTAGACAAATTAGTGTATATTGTGAATTTCAGAGACAGTCTCTCAGCTCACAGCGAGCATATGGGCGTATTCTTATTTGGTTACACCAGTCCATTAGAATAGAGTAGAATAACAGTTGAAGGGACTTTGGAGGTCTTCTAGTCCAATCCCTTGCTCAGGCAGGATTCCCTATACCATTTCAGACAAATGGTTGTCCAATCTCTTCATAGTAAGCAGTAGTATCATATATTTTGAATTCATACAAGGCCGATTGATTGCACAAAAACAATCTACTACAATTCCATTCCCCTCTCTAAATTTATTCAGTATGAATTAGGAACTAATGCCGCCACATAAGTGAACCTGGGGACCTTCATGTGTCTTGTATTTTAATTTTTTATGAGGTTTTGAAACAGATAAACAGGGAAATAAAATAGGAAAAAGGATATTAGTACTAAATGCATATGAATGAATGGTTGAACCATGGCGGTAATACTTTCTCAATATATCATTAGCTATTTAGTAATGAGTAACTGAATATATTATATGACTAAAATTGCTATTAAGTTCTAAGCAAAGAGTGAATATCAATAACCATGATCCAAAGAATATAAATCAGTGATTTATAATTTACAATAAATTCTATTTATGTTAGCAAAAGTCTGTGGTGTTTTGGAAATCTTGTAAAATGGAAGTATCAGCTTAAGCATAGAGAAACTATTTTTGGATGTATTATAGATATTGATGATGCATAACTCCATATTGGGTAGAGGTGTAGGAAGTTGTAGTCAGGACTACAGTTCCCTGTCACTGCGCTAAGCTAAGCTGTGTGTGAATAAGGCAAAGATAGTATAAACAAGTTTAATGTGGTAAATATGTGGGGACTCAGTGGCTAAGACACTGAGCTTGTCGATCAGAAAGGTTGGCAGTTCAGCGGTTCGAATCCCTAGCATCACGTAACGGAGTGAGCTCCCGTTACTTGTCCCAGCTTCTGCCAATCTAGCAGTTCGAAAGCATGTAAAAATGCAAGTAGAAAAATAGGGAACAGTGTTCTGTGTGCCTTTGGTGTTTAATCATGCCGGCCACATGACCACAGAGATGTCTTCAGACAACGCTGGTTGTTCGGCTTTGTAACGGAGATGAGCACCGCCCCCTAGAGCCAGAAACGACTAGCATGTATGTGTGAGGGAAACCTTTACCTTTACCTTAAAGTTGCTAGCCTAGCAACCAGGAGACTGAGTTCTAGTCCTGCCTTAGGCATGAAAGGGCAACCTTAGGTCAGTCACTTTCAGCTGGAGAATGTAGATGGTTTGGGAAGGTTGTGTATATATATTTGTATTGTATATCTTCTCTATAACCCTTGTCCATCATAATTGTTCATACTACAAAACAATTGCAATAGGAAATGCAATACAGAAAGTCCTTGACTTACAACAGTTCATTTAGTGACCATTCAAAGTTACAATGGCATGAAAAAAAGTGACATGACCATTTTTCACACTTATGGCTGTTGCAGCATCCCTATAGCCACATGATTGGATGTTTGATAACTGAGTCACATTTATGACAGGTGCAGCACCCCAGAGTCACGGAATCTCCTTTTGTGCCCTCCTGACAAGCAAAGTCAATGGGGAAACCAGATTCACTTAACCGTTACTAATTTAAGAACTGCAGTGATTCACTTAACAAAGGTGGTGAGAAAAGTTGTAAAATGGAGCAAACTTACTTAACAAATTTCTCACTTAACATACATTTTGGGCTCAATTGTGGTTGTAAGTTGAGGACTAGCTGTACACTTGATAGGAAATACCTCTGCAAATTGAAAGTTTGTGAGAATGTCCTGTAAAAAACTTCCTGTACTGAATTATTACAATTGGCCTTTTTGTGTTTTAGATACCATCCTTCAGGGTAAGATACTTGAGCAACTTACGTTTAGGAGCAGAATCAAGCATGGTTTTGTTGAAACAGTCAAGATCGCTAGATTCACATACTATGTTAGATTATAAACCATGTATTATAAATAAAATGGGTGGATTCAAACAAAACACTAAACCAAAGCCAAACAAATCATAAGATTATGATTTAGTGAAATGCATGAATCTAGTTAAAGCATGGTTAGATTTTTCAAATAGTTTCTGTAAATGTCTAAATATAATTGCATGGAAAAGAGGGGAGAAATTACCATACCAGATTATTTACTTTGGATAACAACATATTTTCTGTTTCTGTTTAATAGAACAAAAATAAGAACTAGAAGAATTCAGATGTTCCGGTGTCTTTTCATTAGAGATTTGAATTAGAGATTTAAAATTTGAAATGAGGCACCATGGGGATATGTTTTTTTTTAATTAAAAAGTTATGCAATCTGAATGTAATTGTTTGGAAAACGTTTCTAGGTTTTTCTTGAATAAGGAAAAAAAATGCTTACTCAAGAACTACAGATTTCGACTACAATGTTACCAGTTTGCAGATAAATGCATGTAAAGATGACAAGACAATTTCTTCGCAATATCCCTCTTATCTATCCTCTGGCCTTTAGATGGCGCTCTTCCTTTATTCTCGCGGCTACGCGTGGTAAAAGGGTTAAGCTTTAAAAATGTAACACAGACAACGGACTAAACCATCTACTAAAGAAAATAGGGGGTATCCTTTAGGGAAAAAAAGTACTATTCACTTTCCTTCGCCCCTCTTTGCGAACTGTGAACTTTTATATAGAATAGTGAGAAGTAATTTACAGGTGTCATAACGAACGGCTTTGGTGATGCTAAGCTCTATTTCCACCCCCACCCCACCCCCGCCTTTCGAGTACACAATGGGGCGTTCTGGCAGTAAGTTTTGAGTTTCGGCGCGGAAAACAAAAAAGCCGTTTGTAGTCAGGAAGTTGAGCCTGCGCGTCTTTCTTTCTTTTTTTCTCTCTCCCCCCCCCCTCGCGGTTTATTTCCCTCTCACGAGACGGGGCGGTTTGGAGCCTTGGGAAAGAGGGCGCGCGCCACAGGTGAACGCGAGGGGAGGGGGGGGGAACAGAAGGCCTCCCGTCTGCGGCCGTAGCGTTTCGGGGTAAGAAGCTCAAGAGCTGTTTAAGGATTATCCATAAATATTTACATCTCAACTTTAGGAACCGCCCCTCTCCTCACAGAGGCAGCAATGGTACTTGAGGGACGGAGGCGAGGGACCATGCCTGCTTTTCATTGATTTCATTTTATTCCGCCTCTATTTGATCGCAAGGCGATGACCGTGCCTAATCCTTCTCCCTCCTATTTTCTCCACAACAACAACAACCCTGTGAGGTGGACTGAGCGAAAAGAGAGTGACTGGCCCAAAGTCACCCAGGGTCTCTCCCCCCACCCCCATGCTTAGGGCTGGACTAGAACTCACCGCCTCCTGCTTCCTAGGCCAGCACCTTTTCACCACTAGATCAAACTGGTTCCTTCTAGGGTTGTTGCAGGGGCCCTTTGGGGGTAGGGGAAGAAATCTGTTTAGGCCAGGGGTCGCCAACCTTTTTGGACCTCAGGGACCACCAAACTCATAATTTTCAATCCTGCGGACCAGAGACCCTGGGAAAATCCTCAAAAAAGTCTGCAAGAAAATTCCCCACCCCATTTTCCTATAAAGTAAAGATCATTCTTTATTTGAGATTGCAGGATACGGTCTCCAGGGGAGGGAGGGAGAGACTTTTGACTTCATGCAAGGAAAGCAGCAGAAGTCTTTCTTTCTCTCCCCCAAACTCTGCCAGAAATGAGCCTTTGTGAGACTTGTTGTGCCAGCGCAGCCTCTTGGAGCAGGATGCCTTGCAAGGTCCCAAAGACTCATTTCTGGCAGAGTTTGGGGGAGAGAAAGAAAGACTGTTGCTGCTTTCCTTGTGTGCAGCCAAGAAAGAAGCAGTCCGGTGGCTAGGCCAGGCGCGTGGAGCAAGTTCTCCCCTGCCACCCTTTCCCCCCCTCCCTTCACTACCTCGTGTTGTTAGCAATGCAAGCGACGCAAGCCTTGTGTTCCCACGTGCAATGTGGGCGGCACAGTCCTGTGTTCCCGTGCAGCCTGGATTAATTGCTTTGGGGGGAGTGATTTGGGGGTGACATTTCTCTGCCGACCACCAACATTTTCTGACATACCACCAGTGGTCCCCGGCCCACTGGTTGGCGACCACTGGTTTAGGCTTCTAGGGTGATGGGGCTTTCCTCCTCTTGCCTTTCTCTGTTCAGGGAGAGACGTGGGTCAATTCAAACTTGTAGAGGTCTCCAACTTTGGCAACTTTAAGACTTGGACTTCAACTCCACAAGTCTTAAAGTTGCCAAGGTTGGGACCCCTGATTCAAAGCAAAATTCCTCCTTTAACTGAGTCCTCTACACACCTTTCAAATTTGGATGAAAAAACATCTGGGTTGGTGCCTTGAGAATGCATGCTCTTCTCTCTTGTTCCATTAAAGGGTTTGAGTGGGTGTAGGTAAGAATCAGGCACCTGGCCTGGTCTTTTGCTGGAGCGAGTTTTAAATTAGAATTTGCTTTGGAGATAATTTGGGAACTTGCTTATGTACAAGGTTAAGGCCTGGAATAAAGATTGTATAGTGGTACAGTTTGAAGATTCATGAATGTAAAAGGAGAAAAGAGGGTTAATGCCATTTAAGTTTATTTTCCTCTTTTGTTTGTTTCTCTAGTAACAAGATGTCAAAGAGAAAAGCAACTAAACACTTCAAAAAGAAATTGGCAGTAAGTGGCGCATTTTGTTTTAAAGTGTGAATACGCATTTACCTCTTCTTTTTAATGCAGAACTGTGAGTTGATTTGGGTGTAGAAATTCTATAAAGTTTATTAATTCTTGAGCCATTTATAGATCATCCTTTTTTGTGACGTAGTTGAAGTAGGACTGTTTGCTATTTAGTACTGTGTCTTCAAATTGGAGTTTAGTATTGTGTCTTCAAATTGGAGTTATTAATGTTTTTCTGGAATTATACAGCAGCTACAGAAAACTCCATAGTTTTTTTCTTAATAATTTCCAATAGTTTTTTTAAGGATTATATTAAATAAATAAAATTTATACAACTACAGAATAGATATATTAAAGAAAATAAAAAAGCTCTATGATTTCAGGAATAGATGCAGCAGCTTTAAAATATTCATAGGTGCTGTGTGCATAGCTCTAGATCAGGGTTGTAAAAATCACATCATGGCAGCATCATGTGACGCTTCACAACTTTTTTCCCCTTTGCTAAATGGTAATCTAGCCCACGGGCTGGGAGTTTGACCGTCCTGCTCTAGATGGTAGTATTACTTATGACCCTGATAACTTTTTCTTAATTTAATTTGCATTTATTACTTATTTGTAATAACCTCTTAAATGTTTAACTTTCTGAAGAGCTTAGATAACTTGTTTTTTAACATTGCCATGCTAATCCATAGGTGCATGGAGCTTTGAAATCAGAACTTTAACATATTTTGTTCTGGATGGGGCTAAATTACCCCAGACAGACCCAGTGCACAACTTGGAGGTTCTCCTAGATTTGCAATGACTGCTCAAAGAGCAGGTGGCAGTAGTGGCTATAAGAGCCTTTGTGCAACTTTGGGTTGTGTGCCAGCAGGTCCTTTCCTGATTTGGAAGTCCCTGTGCTCAGTCACTCAAGGCCTGGTTTTCTCACACTTGGACTCTTGCAACATGCTGTACATGGGGCTATTTGAAGAGTATTTGGAAGCTACAGCTGGCACAGAATGCAATCTTGTAGATAATCTTTGGGGGTCCTAGGGTGGCCTGCATCACCAGTTGCCATTTTGCTTCTAGGTTCAATTCAAGATGTTGGTTATCACTTTAAAGCCCTTCATGGCATGGATCCAGGTTGCCTAAAGAACCATCTTATCCCAATGGGATTACCTCACCCCACCTGCCCCAGTAGAAGGGGAATGCTGCAAACCCTTTCAATCAAGGAATTCTGTTAGGGTTTTGGAATTAACCCCTAGCAGAGTATTGCAGCAGTAGTCAAGCCAGGCAGCCAAACGAGAGTGGAAGGGCCCCAGAGTATACACACACTGAACACAAACACTGTTTGTAGTTTAAATAGTTTTTAATCCAGTTAGAGTTTAAGCATTGTCATTCAGTCCATTAAGTCATTCACAGTATTTCCATCCAGTAAGACTCACTAGTATAGTCCAAGTTAAGAGTCCTTGCAATATCTTTATCAGCCGATAAAGATATCTTCTCCTCCTCCGGTTTCACTCTCCAGAGAAACAAACGCTGGATATTCAG